TGCTGAAGTTAATCCATAGGTTAATCCAATGTGTCTGTGTCCCTTTGAAATGATTTCTGATAATCCATAAGCAATAAACCTATTTTTCCGTTTCCAGATGTCAGAGCGAGAGATAGCTTCACTCTCATGCAAAACTACATGCGCAAAGCCCACACCTTTTTGTGTTAACGTTGGAGTCTATATGAAAACCCCCCTTCGATTCTATTGGCTCTAACAGTCAGAAAGAGATGTCAATCACCAAAATCGACCAATGGGTTCCAGAGAAACGGAAAAAAACGCCCATTTCCACCAAAATCACCCCAGAGGTGGAGTTTTCTTTGCTAAACCTCTCTAAAAAGGTCAAATGTCACTTGTTTTGCATCAGTCTCGATACAGGGTACTTATTATATGTTGTACTTTAGATTCCTAAAGCTTTTAGTCTACCTTACCATCATCCAAGGGTAGTTTTCACTATAAGTAAAAAATAATGTTTGGACGGACACTATAATTTACAGTTTTTTACTATGTTCAATCTGAATTTTCTTTAAAATAAAAAACATCTATATTGATTCTGACTTTTCTACATCCAACTCACAGGTTTATCATTACTTTGAGAACAAAGATTATTAATGTAACCCTTTTAGAAGGGAAGATATGGTCCTGGGAATGTCATTTTCGAGCCTGAGACCTGAAAAACAGGCTCAGGGTGGAACAGGTTAAAGATATTACTGATTTACTGAACTACCTTTCCAACTCCTCGTGCAGTTGACTGTTACAGGTCTATACAGGTTTATGGTACAATGCATAAGCTTCAAATCGAGAGACTGAAACTTTATTTCTCTTTACCGTTCTGTTTTAATTTCACAATAAAGTTAATAGTAATATTATGTTTGATATTATTATGTTTTATTAACTAGACCACTGGTTTTTTAACCCGCACCGCCTAGTTGTTAAATCACGTTATTGAATTTAGTTGTTGAATAAGTTATATTTGATGAAAACATTTAAATATTAAGAGTAGCCTACATACAAAATAGGGGAAAGTAGAAGGTCAATGATAGAAATATAGAAAAGAAAATATCAAGAAGATACTGTAGTGATCTCTACAATAAAACAGTATAGTGCAGGACGTCCAAAGATATTAATAGGAGGATGTGCAAAACAGACAAACTAATAAGGCTTTATTTAAACATTAAAGAATACTTTAAAGGGGACCTATCATGCAAAATGCACTTTTGCACGTCTTTTCTACATGAATATGTGTCCCCGGTGTTCCAGGGAACTCACCAAGTGTCAGAAAACACAACCCTCTCTATCTTCCTCCATACCCAAATCTCTAAAAAAGGGGCTTCAACGGATCTGATAAAAACTGATCCAGATTTGAACACTGTCCTGACGTCAGGACAGTGGCGCTACGGCTATTGGGCCAACTCCACCAATCAGGAGGAGACAGCCATGGCCATTGCCGTTCGAAAGCGCTGGAGACGCTGTAGTACATATGCCAGGCCTGTAGATGGTGCTGTTCTCACAGAATCTGCCCTTGCAAAAACAGAGCTAAAAAATGTCAAATTGAGCAAAATGAGGCATGGCTAAAATGCATGATCTGTTTGGTATTTTGAAAAAAAAAAAGTATAAATATGCCTTATACTATATTATTCAAATATAGCATGATAGGTCCACTTTAAGTTAAGGTCTTCTTTTGAATAAGAAAAAAACATTGGGGGTATCAACAGATAAATATTAAGTCTGACAAAGTACTTAACGTCTAATATATTGCATAGTTTATTTTGGCACTTGACAATCACCTTGCCTGAATTTGACTCAGGTGTAACTAAAGTCTGATTTAAGGGTTGTTTATATTTCACATCATTAATCAGAATCTGCAAAGTAACAAAAATAAATGTAGTGGAGAAAAAAAATACCAGGTTAACCTCTGAATTGTAGTGGAGTAGAGCAAAGTAGTACATGCTGCTGTAACAAAAACATTTCCCAACTTGGGATCAATAAAGTATATCTTATCTTATCTTAAGATGATCGATGGCTACTGCCATATTTGCAAAATGTGCCTCTGAACCTTGACAAGTGCATGTTTCAGGCTTATCAATGAACAACAGGAGGGGTCACAGACATAAGACCAGCTGTTAAATAAAGCTATTCTGACCTTAGCTGTCATGTGGGTATATATTAATGCTGCCCATTATGGACACAAGCAATTGTCACCCATTTATTAATTATATGTTTTAAATTTGATAACACCACTGTGTTTCGTATCCCCTAAACCTCCAGGGGTGGCAACTTCTAATTGTGGGAAATACGAAAACGTCTTTTAAAACTACAATTCCCAGTAGAGACGTGCCATAGAACATGTTGCAAAACAAACAATAGCCAGCATGTGTAGTTCTCGGGGGGGGGGGGGGGGGGGCTGGACCCGTCCGAGTCCAGTTTTGGATAGTCTGCCGTGGTTCCATTCCATTTCAAAGAGCTGTTTGACGCTCGGCGTAACCTTGTCGCATTGCCACTCCAACATCCAATCACAGAGCTTGAGGACTAATCACGGGGTTTGTAAAGCAAGGCGGATGTTGTAGTCCCAAACGATAGCTGGGGATTCTGGGTAGTGTAGTGTCTTTGGAAACTCTGTAGTGTCTAAACTCAGAAAAAACTATTTGTTTCTCCGAATCGAAGGTTAAAAACACAAAAGCATTGTACACAATTTAAACCAATCAATATTGTGTAATTAACAAGGATAAACTGATGTTTTTTAGTGGATGAGTAATGCAGATATCACTGTGTAATCATTTGACAGTGAGGGGAATACTTCCGGTTTTATTATGAAAACTTCGAGACCGGAAATACTGTTTTCACCCCGTGAGGGTTGACGCTAACTTTACATGAAAGCTGCCGCATATACACGTTCTCCTGGCGAGACCTCAAATCATCTTCGTAATATCTATCAAACTATAGATCCTACACATCGACTGGACGTAGATTCTAAAAGTACAATATACACTTCTCGCTAGAAATCTAATAAAAAAGCATTTTAATGGCCAAACTATTCCACAATTTAGGATTTTCCAGAGAGGGTTATTTGTGAATAAAAGAACCTCCGGAGCGTTTGCAATCAACGGGAGCATGTTGTTTCTTACACGCCCACTTTAAAACGTGACTCTGGGTCGTATTAAGCTGCTGAACAATCGACCTATATGGTCGTTTTTTGTAGGAGGACAGGCTGGGAGGAAAGGACGTCCCATTGCTCTTAAAACATAGTATCTCACTTCCTCTCTCCTCACATGGTCCCATGCATTTTGTTGTGCAACAGTGTAATGCAAATGACAATAATGATCCTCAAACAAACAGGAAAGTGTAGTGCCGAGAGAAGGGAGACGGAGGCGGTGCATCGAAGGTGCAAATCTCTCTTTATTGGGGAGCAGAAATCGACGTGCTGTCGGGTTGCAGGAAAGAGGAGAAGAGAAAGTGAAAGAGGAGGACACACAGTAGGTACCCCGGAGGTACCGTCAACATATATGTCCGGGCGGAAACAATACCCCCAACCTGTAGTTCCCGGATTGAATTATGTAACCCCAGTGTATGAATCAGTGATCACTACACAAGCCCCCCCAGAATTCAACCATGGACACAATCCTCGCGTTGGGAGGAAGCACCACAGGGGCTGAGGAGGGCGGGCCATGGAACGGGCCGTCGGAAGGGGGCCGCAGGAGAGGGTAGGGGCCGCAGGAGAGGGTAGGGGCCCCAACGAAGGCGAGGGCATCCCCACCGGAGGGCGGGTGGCGGGCCGGAACGGGCCGTCGTCAGGGGGCCGCAGAAAGCAGGGTCGCTGTGTCGAGACCAGGGGACGGGCGTGAAAAAAAACCCGGTGGTCCCCAGCAGGGAGGAGCGCTGCCCGGCCGCAGGCGAAGGCACAGCGGCGGCGGGCACGAAGTCCTCGGGAGGAAGGAGCCGTGTCCCCGGGAGGAAGGAGCCGTGGACAGGGGAGAGGCCAGATGGGGCGCCGTCGAGGCGAACCGTGAGCCGCGGTTAGAGGTGAGGCCAGGCAGGGTCCCGAAGCGCGCCACCCACGGGCCGATGAAGGCATGGGCGACGTCCGGAACCGCCGAGGCGAGGGAAGAGGCGAGACGGGGTCCAGAAGCGCGCCACTGTGTGACGTCCGAAAACCGCCGTCGAGGTGGTGATAAAGCGAGAGGGTCCACACGAGGCCGACCAGCCATGGTCGAACCTCCTCTCAGTCACCAGAAAAAAACTCAAAAATGGTCGTCCCGTCCACGAACAAAAACAGGTGGGCGAAATAGCGAGAGGATCCACGCGAGGCCGACCAGACATGATCGAACCTCCTCTCCGGCACCACAAAAAACAAAAATAAAAATAAAAAAACAGTCGGATGTCAGCCGCTAGCTGCTGTGGCTAGCCGCTGTTAGCTGTTGCCAGCTGCTAGCCGTTAGCAGTCGTGGCTAGCTGATCTCGGCGGCCGTTAGTCGCCGGCCGGACATGCAGCCGCATGTCCCGAACCAACCCGGCACGGTCACGTACCGGCCCCATGGAAGGGTTGCCGTCCCCCAGAGCCGAAAAGCCGTGGAAATGGCGAGCGTCGTCCGCGTCCATTCCGTGGGGCGCACCGAGCCACAGTCCGAGCGCACGTGGCAGCTACGGAGGTCTCCAAAAATCCCCGGCATTTCGAGAAAAAACAAGAGTTTTTTTGCCGTGTTCGGTTCAGTCTCGGAACCTTCGCGAGACTTATGTCAGGGTCACCAATGTAGTGCCGAGAGAAGGGAGACGGAGGCGGTGCATCGAAGGTGCAAATCTCTCTTTATTGGGGAGCAGAAATCGACGTGCTGTCGGGTTGCAGGAAAGAGGAGAAGAGAAAGTGAAAGAGGAGGACACACAGTAGGTACCCCGGAGGTACCGTCAACATATATGTCCGGGCGGAAACAATACCCCCAACCTGTAGTTCCCGGATTGAATTATGTAACCCCAGTGTATGAATCAGTGATCACTACAAAAGCAACAAATGAAATAGTATACTTTAATAATAACTCATTAACATATCATTAAAACATCCAACCAAGTTATTGTGTTTTTGTGTATTCTCGGTACTCACGGTACCGTATTATAGGACAAGGCCAACAACATTAAATAATACGATAAATATAACCGCAAATTCGTGAAAAATGTAAATAGGAGCTTTGACACTAACAGACAGTACTGTAACAATTTTTTGACCGAAAATGTTCCCACCAGCTTATAGTCCTGCAGCTGTATGACAGTTTGCAGATACTCTGTGAACACAGGTTATGTATTCCCTGTCTAATGTAATGGTTCAAGTCAATTTCCAGTTTATAAAAAAATATAATTGAAAATAATCGTATTGATTTTCATAAGACTAAAACAAATAATGTATCTTGAGAAAATGAAATATAATTGTTTTTAAAGTGTCTCAGCTGACTGGACAGATCGGTTTCCAGATCGGTTTCCAGAGACACCAGAATGTTATGTCCATGTATGCATGTCTATACAGTTTCGAAATGAGTCAATACCATAATAGTAACCTGTGTGTGTATGAGCACATGTTCAACATTTGTTAACATGCAATAAGAGCTACAGCCACTGTTTCATGTGTCTCAATGCAGAAATGTGAGCAGAGCAGTGAGCCAGGTTCCCAGCCGGCAGCCCTTCACCCAGAGCAGCAGCTCGTACACACTGAGCCCGCACAGCTGCACACACTCCGCCAGCGTGACCTGCACCCGCCTGCTCCTGGACCGGGCCTTACTCCTCCTGTGCCTGTCAGTGGGGTCAAGAGTCAGGCACTGTTTAGTTTAGCAGGATAATCTCCACATATTAACATCACTTTTACGATTTTTTTAAGTAAATTGCTAACGTTAAGCTATAAAGGAACTACAGCACAGTCACATGACTTCACGTCACCACAGCTAAGCTAAAAGTGGCTAATGATCAGCGTCTTGACCTTTAATATTTGCATTTAGTAAATTGTTAGCTGTTCTTATGAGGCATAGAAGCTTCAGACAGTCACCAGTGGGGTATTTACTGACGTATTTTATGTCCTAGAACAAAACTTGAAAATCTCTTCAGCTTGGGTTAACCACAGACCTTATTTCAGGATAACAATCAACAACACTTTTTTTTTACTTTGAGCCAGGGGAAGTGGTAAAAGCTGACTAATGTCCAGGTTTTATTCCTGCTCCACGTCACTAGAGAGGAGAGAACAACTCTGCTGACCTGGCCATAGCACGTATGCAGCAGCGGGACATGTTGATGAAGGACGAGGACGAGGCTCTGGTCTGTAAGGTGGTCTCGATGCCCCTGAGCAGATCGTTGGTCTTCAGCAGCAGCAGCATCTGCCGGGGAACTCTGTTCAGCAGCTCGCTAATCTGAGGGAGGTACTGAGCCGCATTGGTCTGGATCTCTACATCCTGCCGGGGTAGACACATAGGAAGACAAGCTGTGTCTTTACTGGATCCACACATGTAGTGACAAGAATGAGAAAAAAAGATCACATACACTCCCACATTTAACGGCTCTGCACTTGCTCCCAGTAAAATGTTGAACTCTTATTCTTGCCTACAAAGCCCTTCATGTCAGGCTCTATCCTATCATAAAGAGCTCAAAGTTCCCTACTGTCCCAATAGGGCATAACATTCCAAGAACAGAATCCCAGTTTGTGTTTAGGAGTCAGACTCCCTCTCCACATCTAAAAGCAGGCTTAAGACTTTCCTTTTTAATAAAGCTTGTCGTTTTGTGGCATTGTGCCCTTGAGCAAGGAATTGGATCCAAGGGCTTTTCCCTAAATTGTGTGGATAAAAATCTAAAATTAGCGAAGAGTCTGATGACTGAGACAAAAAAGAGATGCACCAGGGACAGGTGATGTTGATACCATGAGGAAAAAAGATTTTCCAAAATGTACTGAGTTTTGACCTAGCAGAAATGACAACACACTATCAACCACAGCATAGAGGAAGGAAATGGTGAAAGAGGGAATATTTTTGCCTCAATTATCACTATTTGTCTCTTTGATGTTGAAGATGTGTGTTTGAGTGTCAGTGTCCAGTTCTACTTCAAAGGCCTCGCCCTGCACATCAGCGGGCCTAAATCACACTATTAGTCATGGAACAAAGTGGAAAGCAAGCTTACAAACAGTTAGTTATTTAGAAAACTCAGACACAAAGTAAACCAGGAGGAGTACATCTTTATAAGTCCAGGACATTACAAGAGTGGAATAAACAGCTATGAAATTACAAGTTAATTGGAAAAATGGGAGGAGAAATACCTTTTTATGGCGTTCACCACTCTGAATAGAAGCACAAACAATATTTAGGTTTATATTTCCCAATAGGTACTGTAAAATGAACTTTTTTGAAAACATCATCAACCCATGTTTCTGGACTGTCAGAGCAATTTTAAGCCACCATTAGCACCGTCTACAACAACAACATTAAACATCTTAAGAACGCTGTGGGTACACAGTGTGCAAACTCGACCAGATAGGATTAACTGCTGATTCCAGAAACCTTTGTAAGTTCTATTTTGTTTTTAGACTTCTCTGTTTCAGTCTACCCTGTATAAATATTTTGTAGTTCATCTTGCTAAAATTGTGCTAAAATACCTGTTTTTCAGGCAGAAATCTGGGTAACTTGTTTTTACAGAAATCTTAAACTGAACCATCTGCTTCTTAGGGTTAACTTTGATTTAAACAATTGTACAAATACTAAGGGCTTTACTAGGGGTAATTGTATTAGGGTTAACTTTATAACCTCTGTAGCCAGGGTTTATTCTGAAATGTGTCTGTAAAAAGTGCATGACAAAAGGCCTGGAGGCTCAACTGATTGTGGGGAAGTGACAGTGGGTGTTTCTCAATCGCGAGTACGCTTGCTTGGTAGCACATGTCTTCCGAGTCACTTCCTTCAGAAGCTAGGCAAGAATCCTTCCTGGCATTCGGAAAACGAAGAGTGGAACAGGCTAGCAAGTGTGCAGGTGTGCGTCATATGAGAGGCCCCGCCTTACATTTTCCGCCACAGATTTGGGGAAATTGGTCCGTGCGCAAAGCATTGTGGGGATTTTAAGGACGCGAAGTCTACCCATGTGCAGCCTCGAAATTTCCCCCAAACCAAGGACGCGGCCTCGGTGGAATTCCAAGTATGCTGGACATTGGAACGGTCCTGCTGCGCCAATTGATGACGTAGCATCCTTGAAATATTGGCTTGGAAGCCAATATCCTCGCGATTGAGAAACGGCCCGATTCTACTTCTTCTTCTTCTTCTTCTTTGGTGTTTATTGGCGGTTGGCAAACCAACTTGTAGGTGCATTACCGCCACCAACTGGACTGGAGTGTGGACAATAGACTATGCAGAAAACAATAAACAAAAGAAATAAAATAAAGAACCAAAACTCTAGATTATTTTAACCTGTTAAGCACCAAGCCTGTTTTTTCATGTTTCAGGCTCGAAAATGACATGCCCAAAACAATGACTACAACTTAACTTCTAAAAGGGTTATATGAATAATTTCTTTTATCAAAGCAAGGTTACATCTGTGAGTTGGATGTAGAAGTGTCAGAATCAATATAGATTTTTTTTATTTTAAAGAAAATTCAGATTTTACATAGTAAAAAACTGTAAATTATAGTGTCCGTCCAAATATTATTTTTTACAGATAGTGAAAACTACCCTTGGATAAGGGAATGCTCTGGTTTTTGGACAAAATTAACATGGGATCACTCCCGTCACCGGACGTACTTCGTCTCACTGGAATAGTAACGGTCATAGTGAATATAAAATCGTCCCCATGTATCCGGCCAATGACGGGAGAGTTTTGAAAGAGACAAAACACTGTTCCATACATTTAAAAACACTTAAACAATTAAACAATGTTTACCTGCCAACAAGCAGCAGTGTGCTGTCATTTCAAACATGTTACCCCACTGTTTAACACAGTTTTACCTGTGTTTTGAAGACTCTTTCCTGGGTCAATGTGTCCTCTTTCTCCCCCCCTGGGTGTGTGTGAGACAAGTGAAGTGAGTCAGGCTGCCAACAAGCAGCAGTGTGCTGTCATTTCAAACATGTTACCCCACTGTTTAACACAGTTTACCTGTGTTTTGAAGACTCTTTCCTGGGTCATTGTGTGCTCACCAGGGGCACGAGAATACCCTCCACAGAAGGGGTCGTGGTTCCGTGAAGAAGGCCGAATTTGGGTGCTCATAGGCAGCCTGCTGCAGAGTCATTTTCAGGCTCCTCTCCACAATTGTCCCCCTAAAATGATTTAAAATCATTATTTTTGCATTTAAATGCATTTATTCTATCATTTATATGGTTCCCCAACACAATGCACATAGTCTGGAGCTCACTGGGGTCCTGCATATAATTTAATCAGGCGTTTTTAACACTTTTTCCCATGAAAATGATTTTTAATCACTATCATGGGGCTATGAAAATAAAATTCCGGGTAATGCAGAGCACAAGTGCACCTTTTACTATTTAAATGTATTTGTATTATATATATTTGGGCTAGAAAGGTGACCTCTCTGGGTGATTTAGTCAGTTTATGGAGCTTAGCCCACAAATCCTGGATGATCCAGGCCGAATTTGGGTGCTCATAGGCGGCCTGCCAGGCGCCCCCACCCGTGGAAAGCAAAAAAATTGAAGAAAACGCTTAATTATAACTTAAAATAATCAAAAATGAAGTTTTGAAAAATTGTCAAAAAAATGACAGAGTGCCAACGGGAGAAGGGGCCAGACTATTGGCGCTTCAGGCCGATTTTTCCCCTTCTCCGATGGTTGGTACAACGGAGAAGGGGAAAAAGTCCCTGGGCTTCATTTCCACTTCTCTGTTAAAAAGATTCATCCATACTTTTCAAACTACCGTCTGCACGAAATCGGAAACCCAGTTTTTGGGTGCACTCAGAAAAATAACGGCTGTTGCAAATCATGGAAGAATGTATCCGCTCACCAAGCACTTTGAGTGGGCCTAATTTTGTGGCGCAAGGACCCCCCAGCCTGGTTCTCTCAATACTTAAAGTTTGACATGGAGGAATGCGAGGGCACTTTGCAGGTGACTCTACCCGATTATGAGACACTATTTTGGGACGTATTTTTTACATTTCTCTGGTTCTCCAAATAGTTTAAGTTCGACATTTTGAGCCATGGAGGAATGCGAGGGCACTTTGCAGGTGACTCTACCCGATTTTGAGACACTATTTTGGGGCGTATTTTTTACATTTCTCTGGTTCTCCAAATAGTTTAAGTTCGACATTTTGAGCCATGGAGGAATGCGAGGGCACTTTCCAGGTGACTCTACCCGATTTTGAGGCACTATTTTGGGGTATAATTTTTACATTTTGACCCCTTTGCCCGGTTATCACCAAAGTTGAGTTGGATGATTTCGACCATGGAGGAATGTCAGGGGAGTCCGCGGGGGACTCCTGCGGGGTCATGAGGCACTATTTTGGGGTACAATTTTTACATTTTGACCCCTTTTCCCGGTTCTCACCAAAGTTGAGTTGGATGATTTCGACCATGGAGGAATGTCAGGGGAGTCCGCGGGGGACTCCTGCGGGGTCATGAGGCACTATTTTCGGACACTTTTTTCCCATTTTCCCCCCCTTTTGCCTGGTTCTTTTTATTTTTATTTTTTTTCCTGTTTTGGCCCGTTTGACCCGGTTCCTTCTGCCGGGGGCACTGCCCGGTCCCGGGTGCCCCCCCCAGGGCTCGCGTACAGCCGTTTCACCCCCCACATTGACGGATTTTGACCCCTTTGCCCGGTTCTCACCAAAGTTGAGTGTGATGATTGCTGAGTCATGATGCACTATTTTGGGGTACATTTCCCCCATTATCAACACGGACTAGAGATGTCTCGGAGATGGCTCGGAGCCCACACCCTGGTTCTATGTAACCCTGGAGGAATGTCACATGAGTCGACAGGGGACTGCTGCTGGCTAATGAAGGACTATTTTGGGGTACATTTCCCCCATTATCAACACGGACTAGAGATGTCTCGGAGATGGCTTGGAGCCCACACCCTGGTTCTATGTAACCCTGGAGGAATGTCACATGAGTCGACAGGGGACTGCTGCTGGCTAATGAAGGACTATTTTGGGGTACATTTCCCCCATTATCAACACGGACTAGAGATGTCTCGGAGATGGCTCGGAGCCCACACCCTGGTTCTATGTAACCCTGGAGGAATGTCACATGAGTCGACAGGGGACTGCTGCTGGCTAATGAAGGACTATTTTGGGGTACTTTTTTTTCATTTTCACCCAAATTTCCCTGGATGAAATATTTTTTAGTTTTTTTAGTTTTTAGCCCAGTTTTGGCCACAGCGTTGCCTGGAGGATAGGACCGAGATATGACAGACTCTCTGGCCGCCTCACAAGTCACTATTGTCGGACACTTTCTTTGCTTTACCCCGGTTCTATCAC